CTCTATTCACTGCATCACCACGGATAGTGATGAATTTAGACAGAGACAGGAATGTGTGGCATGGAGACAGTTTAGTAGCATGCCTCCGTGCACGGAGGCACGCTGAGCACGGTGTGCCTCCGTGCACGTGGACGGAGGGGCGACGTGTCTCCGTCCGTGTGCACGGAGGCACGCACGCTGGTTCTGAGATTCAAGTACTTGCAGTGAATACATTAATAGGCTGGTTCTGAGATTCAAGTACTTGCAGTGGATTGATCTCAATTCTGTTGAGGTACTGTAGATATTCTCTTTTTGTTTCTTTGTAGGCATGTTAGAGGAACTGTGCAAATTACTAGACAATCCAATTTAATTTGTTTCATAACACTGACAAATGAAATCGGTGCAACTTTGCAATACAGATGACTTTCTAGACTGTTTAGTTGTATCAATCTGCAATTGTATTGAAGTTACCCTTGAGAATGTTTGTGTTTGTATTTCTTGGGTTGATATAAACAATGTTTACATTATCTAATTCCCTTGTTACTAGCTTTCCATAAACATCAGTAAGAAGTATATGCTCTGCCTTATTTCTTATCTTTTTTGAATAAGATGTTTTCTTATTATTGAAAATAACATGTAATTTGTCTGAGAATGAGCTGAAATTTTCTTGAAATTTAGAAGTATACAAAGGTGTCTAGAATTGAGATCAATCTTGGTCTAACTTTTTCTTTAAGCTTAATATAAAGAATGTAGATAATAGCGTGTATAATTGCTTCAATAAATTTTCGTTACTCATTATTCAAAAGCACCGTCCAAAGGTTTTAGTCTCCAAGCAGTTCTAAGTTTTGAGCTGCTTTCATTCTCATCATTCTTTATGCTCTTATGAAGTGTTTTAGGCCAGCAATTGTTAGTTTATGTAACCAAAACAAATATAAATCAAGTGCAAATCATTTTTTTTCAGTGTTTCAAATTTTAAAATTTTATAAATCACTAAATTTGAAGCATGTTCTTATATTCAAATGCTAAGCTTACCTCTATAGTTGGTGATGACAATTATGTCTCCATCTTCTCTTGCATTACTGCAAAAGGAGATGAAAACTGTTTGCAAGAGGGGTGATGACCTCTCTCTCATTCCCTCCTCTTTCACACAGCTGCAGTAAAAAAAAAAAAAAAGTGGTAAAAAGTCAATGTTCCAATTTTAAGTTAGGATGTATACATGTTACTTTTCTTTTGAGAATTACAAACACATGTTGTATATTAAGAGATTTTATTAATAGAAAATCTTGGCCAACTTCTGCTATAACGACTAGAGTTACTGAAAACTAAAAGAACAACCCAAGTATTGAGAAGAAAATGTGAATGTTTGTTGGTAATTGCTTATTTAAGTTATCTCGGTATGGAATTACAATCTCTAGACAGTTGATCAAATTGTTTTATGCCTAAAATGATGGTTGTCCCAGCTACATTTGTAGGAATGAACATTCTTTGATTTTCCACAATTTTATGGAAAAGTTGACATAAATAGCACTTCAAGTTTACTTTTCATCAATGATTTATTTAGTTTGTACGCATTCTTGATTTGGCAAGAGCAGAATAGTTTTTTCTTTCTCAAGTGGAAAATCCAAATTGCTCTTCTTTTCATACAGACGTCTGAAATAAAGTTTTGTTCATTCTTAGTAAAATCCCTTAAGGCTAAATAACTTCTTTGGTTGTTGGTGGATATGCTTCCAGAACTTGCAGGGATATTTTAGGGTGCCAAATGAATAATAATATTAGCTTAAATATTAATTTTAGGAAAGCACCACAACATCCTCAAAATGTAAGTATATAATTATTTTTCTCAAATTTTTTCTCCTTTAAATTGTAACTATTGTTCACTAATCAAAAATTCCTTCAAGAATTTGCCTAATTTATTCTTATTTTTTAAGAAATTAATTTTTTTTCTTTGTAGTTGTACTTATGAATTGATATATTTAAATCTTGGAAGGGGTAGAAGATGAAATTCCAGGGAAGCAAATTACTAACAATAGAGAAAGCCACAACAAGAGAAACAAATGGACCTTACTACAAGATGTACTCAAATTCTCCAATTTTTATAAAATTAAGCTTAACTTTCATGTTTTAATTTTTTTCTTTTTCTAACATTGGCAGGTTGATAAGCTGAAGAAGAAACAAGGCATGAAGGAAATGTTTAAGAAAACTTTGAATTCGTGAGAGTAAAATTAAATCTAGAAAAAACGAAAACAATTCTAGGCAGATATTTTCTGTTAATTTCTGCAATCCATCGAGTAATCAAGTTCTCATTTCTTTCTTTTTGCTTTGCTTTTGTCTTCCCTACATGTAGATATCACGGTAATAATTTTTAGACATGTCAAGCATTAAGCATAGAGAACTGTTACTATCTTGCTAACTTTTGTTATTTTGAAGTTTGTTTATTTTTTAAAGTACTCAATTTCCTTCCCCCTTTGAGGAGGGAAAGTGAATGCATCGTGTATCACTGGTATTCATGTTTATTAGTTCGAGCCAAACCGATGCCTAGGTCACATTGGTATTGTTTGGTTTTGTTTTTCATACTTCATCTTGGGTAAAATTTTGAAATGTTTACATGTGAATTTTAATTATAAATTTGTAATATGAATAAGGTGCTTCTAGAATTTTGAAGAGATTGGGCCTTTAGACACTTCTTTGAAGCCTACGAATTCCACGTGGCCAAGCAAAGCTAATATTCTATTTGTAGTAAGAAAATTTGATCCTCAAGTATATAAAAATTGTATATTTGTTGGGTAGAAAAGGGACAGTTTTTCTAATGTTAATGTTATTTTGTGGTTGGTTTGAGTGTGAGTTGACATAGTAATCATAGTTTAGATGTTGGCATTGTTTCTGGGTGCTTCCTAACTGGTTCATGAAGGTCTATTGATGGATACCTGGAACTATTGGGTTTAAGACTATCCAGTTTCAGGTCTGCTTTGGCTTTTATGAAGAAAGGGGAAAATATGTAGTTCTCTGTTTAGGAAGAAAGGGGAAAATATGTAGTGGATTGCTAGGATTTGTTTGTTGTGAAGGAAGAGAAATGGAAATGAAAATGAATGTGAATCTTTGGCTTCATGTAGAGGGTTACTTTTTTTTTTAATTGTAGTTTATAAAGTAAAAGAATTGCCAAAAGCAAGATTACGATATAGAACGATGGAAGCATGAGATGCCTCCGTCCAAGTGGATGCTCATGCCTCCATCCACACTCATGCCTCCATCCAAGTGTGGACGGAGGCATCTCATGCCTCCATCCAAGCCATCCACTTGGATGGAGGCACGTCGATGTCTTCGGAGGTGTCCCCGCCAGCGCAAGTGATTTTTTTTTTTTTAACATTTTTTCCTTTTCATGGGACAAGGCTCGATATTACGATGTACAAAATAAATAACCTTTAAAAAAATGATATACTGAAGAACCCACCAACCATTTTTTTTTTTAAAATGTAAAAGTGTGGGCTCAGTAATATAAATATGAACCCAGAAAATTACTCCATAAAAACACCAAAAAGCAAGCTAATCACTGATCTCAAAAAGGGGGATCGGATGCAGTAAACACCAACGATCTGTCAAAAAAATCTTATATTTTTGTAACTGCATTTATTGACATGCATTAATAGATTGGCTTCATGCAACACCTTCATTCATTAAGAGTCTCAAAGATTACATTAAGTGTCAGATTGCAAGCCTTGACTTTTTGAGATGTGTGCCTCAGAAGCCTTAAGGCGTGCACTTCTCAATCTTGACATTTCTGGGTTCAATTCTTTAAAGCCTTAGCTTTTAGGGATGGCTTTTAGATAGTCCACAATGTTTTAAGCTTTCTTGGACTATTTCAAACACATCCCAACCTTTAAAACTAAAAGTAAAAATCGGAGATACAAAATAGAACAAGAGTCACAAGTGCCCTAGCCTCCTAAAGTTGATGTGCAATAACCCCCTGCAAGGCGAAGTAGCAATTTTACAACAGCAACATCTTGTAACCCAAGACTTGCAACATGAAGCTTCAATATCCATTTTCTTTTATACGTCTAGTTACATCTGTGATTTTTATTCTTTTATCTCCAGGTTTCCTTTTCCTTTGAAGTCAAGACATTCAAAATGCTTTAATAGATAGTCAAATAATGCACGCTCTGATAGAAACCAATTTCTCTCATGGAACAAAGGCTTTCATACAAGATTTAGCCATATCAAACACTAAACCTTTTCACTGTCATCATTTTCTTCATTAATGCTCTATTCAAGTTTCAATATCATTCACTTGGAAAAGATGCAACAAATGAAAGGAAAATAAAATTGAATAAGATATAATCTTATCTAATTGTTCAGGAAAATTAAACCTGCTGTACTCAAAATCCAATCACTTTTCATAAGTTGACCTACAAATCTATATCGTTATGTATGTAAATCCAAGGATTTTAGCCCACTATATCATTGCACTCAAATGAAGTGGCAAGAAAAATAATCAATGAGGTCGTTCCCATATTTATCCAAATAGATATTGGTTTGCTATAGTT